TATTACTAAAAAACGTTAATATATATATATATATACAAAGGGGGCTCGGTCAGTTGACCGTTAAATCCGCTCCTGGGTAGAGACAGGACGTGATCATAAACGAGCAGACCAGATAATATAAGATTTAAAAATATATATATATAGAGTATTTAGATTTATAAAATTCATACTCGCCTTTTTGAGTAAAAATTTCGTATTCTGAATCTGGTGATTTTACTGTTTCTCATCTTTGCTTTACGTGTGTACGCGCGTGTGTGTGTGTCTTCCTAATTTGTTAAAGAAAGAAAGCCAAATGAGATTTTTCTTCTCCCTTACGAAAACGTGAATAACCACGACAGTATTTAATAGGAGCAAGTTTTGAAAAAAAATATTTAGTGTTTGTGGGTGCCAAACACAATAAAAATCAGAATTTATCAGTATTGTTTTCACTAAAAGTGATGCACGAACATTGTAGAACTGAAAGTTGGAATGGACGACTCCTGCTTGCTTTCGTGAGGGAAACAACTCTTCGTTCTATCTGACAACGTCAACACTGCCTAAAGCGCCAATAAAGCAAAACTTAATAAACCTTACCTGTACAAAAACTATGTATTGTGCCAGGTTTTAATGATATGCAAATACTTATTGGCTACTGTTTATGTATATATATATTTATAATTTTACGCTTGTTTCAGGTAGGTTTAATTAATCAGAAGTAATAAATATAGTTACGGTCTTAAAACGTTTATAAAGTAAAAGAACCTAAATAGGCTTAGCGTATTAACCCAATTAGGCTTCACGTATTAACCTAAATGAGCTTTGCTTATTAACCTAAATAGGCTTCGCATTTTTCATAATGACGAAAAGTGACTGTCTGGGCCCTATACTAGGTGTTGCATAACCAATAATTCCTTCCTAAAGGTTTTACCAGCACAGAGTACGTTTCTTTTTTTTATTGTTAACTGAACACAGTTGATGTTTCTATTAACAAGATGTCTACAGAATGAGATTAGTAGAGAAAAGTATACCTACCATTAATGGAACCCAGCAGATCAGGAAGAACAGACAGAATAGGTTTAGTAGAGGAAAGTATACCTACCAATAATGGAACCTAGCAGACCAGGAAGAACAGACAGAATAGGTTTAGCAGAGGAAAGTATACCTACCATCAGTGGAACCTAGCAGGGAAGGAAGAACAGACAGAATAGGTTTAGTAGAGGAAAGTATACCTACCAATAATGGAACCTAGCAGGGAAGGAAAACAGACAGAATAGGTTTAGTAGAGGAAAGTATACCTACCATCAGTGGAACCTAGCAGGGAAGGAAGAACAGACAGAATAGGTTTAGTAGAGGAAAATATACCTACCATCAGTGGAACCTAGCAGGGAAGGAAAAACAGACAGAATAGGTTTAGTAGAGGAAAATATACCTACCATCAGTGGAACCCAGCAGAACAGGAAGAACACACAGAGAACCACCATTAACTTTGCAAAAGAAATTTCTTCCTGAGTGGTATGATTGAAGAAGAGCTCCCGACTGTTCTTACAGATGGTTGTTCGTCCCATGCGACCCTTCGATGTGTTCCCCACCTTGGTTAGAACAGTGACCACCGTGAGGTTACAGAAGACGATGACCACACACAAGGCCATGCCAAAGGTGAACATGAAGTAAGCGTAGGCAATGTCCACTGTTTTGGTGGCGAAGCGGTATCGAACACACATGTGACGATGCGTGGGGGCGTTAGTGTCGTAGTACAGGCCAAATCCCATGAAAGGAAGACAGACTATGAACAAGGACACAGCCCACAATGACCCAATGGCTAACTTGATCGTTTTGTGAGTAATATGCTGAAAAAATAGAAAGATTGTTTAAAACACTTTGCGATAACAGTCGTAGACATGTCAAAGTTCAAGATATTTATTGCCTAACCAATTCACAAAAACTTTTAGTCTACCAAATGATATCCAGTGAACACGAAGTTTCATGTTTGAAGTGTTGGTGACACACTCTTGTGTATTTATGTATTGAAGGTAGAGGGTGACACACTCTTGTGTATTTATGTATTGAAGGTAGAGGGTGACACACTCTTATATATTTATATACTGAAGGTAGAGGGTGACACACTCTTATATATTTATATATTGAAGGTAGAGGGTGACACACTTGTATATTTATATATTGAAGGTAAAAGATGACACACTTTTGACAAGTGAGGAAGGAAAATGTGAGATTTTTGTTTCTATATTTATAGCAAGTAGGAAATAACACAAAAGATAAACATTATTATAGTATCTTTAAGAATGTTTAGAACGTTTGGAAGCCACCAGAAGGCCAGAATATGCTAGCACTATATTGATTTCATAGCCATTAGTACAGCCTTTAAAAATTTTCATCTTAGCCAATCAGATTGCTTGTTTTACAAATCTAGACCTTCCGGTGAAAGCCATGGAATCTTATGTAATGGTAAGTAGCTAAGATAAAATTAGTCGAGAGGTAAAGACCTCTAGAAATTCCAGTAAAAAAAAATAAAGAAAAATTGGCTAAATCTCAGCGTGACAACTAAAATAAAATACCCTAAAATAGAAAAAAAAACAACAACATTGGATGTTTAGGGAAATAAACAAATACAATTTTCTAGAGACGAACAAAAGCGGTAAGTCTGAAGGCTTATGACACTAAAAACCGCGTTTCGATACCCGTGGTGGGTACAGCACAGACAGACCATTGTGTGTAGCGTTGTGCTTAACAATAAACTAAGTAACGAACAATCAATTTACAACAACATTTCATCTAGAATACTAATGTTTAGTTTGAATATTTCGTGAGGGTTTTGGAGTTCATATATATATATATATACACACTTCTTGGTTTGGCCCGTCATGGCCAGGTGGTTAGGGCGCTCGACTCGCAATCTGAGGGGCGCGGGTTCGAATCCCCGTCACACCAAATATGCTCGCCCTTTCAGCCGTTGAGGCGTTATAATGTTTCGGTCAATCCCACTATTCGTGGCTAAAAGAGTAGCCATGAGTTGGCGGTGGGTGGTGATGACTAGCTGCCTTCCCTCTAGTCTTACACTGCTAAATTAGGGACGGCTAGCGCAGATAGTCCTCGTGTAGCTTTGCGCGAAATTAAAAAAACAACAAACTTCCTGGTTTATAATATTAATCTAAATTTGAGCTGATAGACTAAAGGGAAGATCAACAACACCTACCGCCGTCTCTTGGGCTACTCTTGTGTGACAATATAGTGGGATTTGACTGTTACTCTTATAGCATAGCCACGGTTTTTGCGGGAACTCTTGGGTTCACAGTTCAAGCTCTTTCGCAACTAAACTAAGCTAGGCCTAACCATTATATGCATCCTCTAAAACTGGGTAGTAAGAACAAAAAAATACTAATTAAAATTTGGTTTACCAAGTTCTTAACCCGATTGTTTAGCGGCTGGTTTGATACTTGTATTTTTGGTTAGCTGGTTTTCCTATGTTCAATTATAAATATACTTTTTGTTAAATTTCTGTTTTAATAACTGGTAAATCATTTTTTGTTGTTGTTTTTGTCAGCAAATTATTTACCAGGTGTCGCTCTGTACCGCCACATAATATCAGTTCTCAATAAAGATTTGTTTGTTCAACAGCAAAGCCACAATGCGCTATCTTCCGTTTCCACCGTGGGGATCGAACCCTGGATTTTAGAATTGTAAGTTCGTATACTTACCGCTGTCCCACCGGGTCGCCGCAATAAAGAAAAAAAAAGTAAAACCGTTTAGAACTGAGAATATAATAAAATCAAGTCACGAACAACAATTGTTTCAAATGGTGGATCATGGGCTCTACTACTTGAACTGCTTTGATCCCAGTTGTCATGAATGTGTGGGGGAAAGATCCGGTTGTTTGTGTTACATAGATAATCAACATTTACATCGAAAACTGGCGAAGGATTAGAAATCAAAGGGCCTAACATTTTACGTGAATTGATCATGTACTGTGAATATGTCCTTGATATGTGTTTTAAATCTCCAATTTCAATATGACACTTTATCGCATTGAAAAGCATTATACTAATACGGAGAAGAATGGTAGCTATCTTTGTCGTATTTCCCGCGTTGCGGAGGTGTGTGTGATTCTAATAAGGGAAAGATTGAAGGGGGTGTAAAGAGGAGGTTATAAATCTGTTCAAGACAGATGAAATGATGAAACAATGCGTCCTTTGTACGCACACGAGCCCTGAAACGTAAAGAAATATGAAACTGTTGTAGATAAGCGCCAGGCGCCAGGTGGCGTCCTGGGGAGTTGAGGTTGCTTTTTCCAAAGCGAAATGTTGACTTGACGGGAGACAGAAATGTCACTGTTAATTTGACATCTACATTTGTTATGGTTTAACCACGTGATATTCAGTGAGACTGAAAAATATCATGTGACGAGAACTGGATACCGGTTAAAAGTGTTGCCATAAGCCTACTTTTACGGCCGAGTCGCTAGTATTATGAATGTCAAAGTTAAGGAACTATTTTCTTTTGTTTTTCCACATAAACATCCAGGGGAAGGTTGCTTTTCTGGTTTGGTTATTACGTGCATCTATTGCAGTTGATGTACAGAAACCACAGATGGTATATCTTGTTCATTTCAGAGAAATAGGCCTAGTAGTTTAGGATACTCGATTCACGATCTGTGGGTCGCGGACTCGAATCCAGTCACCGATCTTAGTTGCCCTTTCAGTCGTGGGGGTTATAATGTGACGGCTTTTTTTTTTTTTAATTTCGCGCAAAGCTACACTAGGGCTATCTGCGCTAGCCGTCCCTAATTTAG